TTCTTAGGTGTTATTTTCTGCTTTTATTTTCATTATTTCTTTACTTAGCCTGTTTTGTTTATTGTATTTGTGTTTTTCTAGATATTGGGTTGGGTTGCATACTTAGAATATTTTCATTATTAGCTTTTAAACTGTATTAATTAGAATTTAAGAATTCTTTTTAGTATTATATTACTTTAGTGAAATCCCATAGGTTCTAGTATTAATCAATTTCAGGCTAATTTTTGAAGCTCTTAGTTTTGTGTTGATCTCACCTTTGTGGTATTTTGTCCCACTTAAGTAGCTTTGTATTTTTATCATCAGTTTATAGTCTTTTTATTGTACTTTATTAACTGTGGTTATACAATATTTTACTGATGTTTTTGGTCTAATATCCTGTCTTAAAAATATTCCATTAGTGTTTGAAAAGTATACACTTTGTGAATGGCAAATGTATATACACACAGGACATAGACACGTAATATAGATGAGGAATTTAATTTTTAGAACCTTTATAACTTTATCATTTGTTTCCCTATATAAGTGATATTTCAGGAAGCATATTGAACAAAATTTCTTAACTTCATAACACGTTTTGCTTTGGTATTCAGTACAGAGCACTGTCATTGCAAAGATTTATTCATGAACTTTTACATATTAACATAGTAACCAAAATAAAGCATATTGGTTTGTCACGTTTAACAATTTTTGTGTTTCATACTACTCTGTCAGATTACTTTCTAGGTATATTTTTGTCCAGCACTTATTGACATTTTTGTGAGGATATGTGTGTGTGTGTGTGTGTGTGTGTGTGTGTGTGTATTTGTTCTCTTGAATCCTAATTTAACAATATTGTTAATCCATAAAAGCATCTTAAAGCCTATTTTTAAAAAAATCATCAAACAATACAAAGAAATAGATTTATTCATATGTATGATTTTGACTTATGTTTGATTTTATTTTTGACATCATATGCACTCTGATCATTTTCTTTTTCTTTTCTCATTTCCTTCTTTCATAATTTTTAGATTAATAAATATATTAACTGATTATATGTAGGTGGGAATCTCTAGTTCACTAAATGAGCTAAATGTCACAAATCCTTAAATATTTCTGCAAAATTCACATGCTAATTTATACCTACAAAATCATCTCCAAATAAAGCAAAAACCTTTGATTAGTTCACTTGAAAGGTTTTTAGAGCTGGGTAGATAGCTCAGTAGAATAAAATGCTTGCGTAGCAAGTGCAAGGTCCTGAGTTCAATCTGCAATACCACACACACACACAAAGTTTTCATCCTGTTATCTTTCCCATACTTCTTGGAATATTTTTGAAAATATTAATGTTCCCAGTTGGTTTTTTTTTACAGAATGCCTCTTAGACTCTACAAATTTCTATATTTCAAATATGTTAATATATCAGAATTATTAGTATTTAAGACTGGAGCTGTTTTACTATTAATTTCATCTTACAAGAGAAAAAACTATCCATAATGGTAAAAAATTCTAATTTCTCTGAAATAATTAAAGAAAGTATTGTCCAATATAAAGTACAATACTTTGAAATACGAAATTTTTCTCACTGGAAGAAATCAAGTAGGGTAAATCACTTATTGGTGAAAGTAATCAATCCCCAGAACAAACAGATTAATTAGAATTTTTAAAAATATAACTTTCTTAGGACTGGCCAGACAGCTCAGCAGACTAAAGCACCTGCTTAGGCAGAGCACAGGGGCCAGGGTTCAATTCTCAGCAGTATAAGCCATGCCAACCCCGTCCCCAGGATGCACTGTGACAGTAACTGAGACTGGGTGTGGTGGTGTGCCTGTAATCCCAGTTTATGGAAGGCTGAAAGTAGATCACTCATAGATCACTGTGAGTCTGAACTGGGTAGTGAGACCCTGTAGACACTGTACTAAAAACATTTTTTTAGAAAAAAATGTAACTTTCTTTATAATACTAGTCCCCATTTTGTTTTCAAATCAAATTGGTAGGACATTTTCAATAATCAACACATTGCATACATTTTTCCCAGTGGTTAATTGCTGTAAAAGATGCGGACATGATATCCTATCTACAAACACCATCAGAACAAATCATTCTATTCATTGGAGAATGTAACTATATATCTATCCTAACCACTTTGAATACACAGATACAAAATGGACCTTCATCTGTATACCCTTTTTGTGTTAAGTTCCGTTATGTGAATATTATAGGTGTGTAAACTAGTCCCCAACTTTAAGGATTTTCCTATCTTGGCAAAAAGAAACGGGTGAGCTAGAAAACCTATTAACCATTTTTTCATCTTGTTATTCACTTCTATCTATTAGTATTACTTTTATTCTAAAAGTCTTAATGTGTACAGGAGAGAGAAAGAAACAAAGAAAAAAGAGAAGGAAAGAAGAAAGGGAGAGAGAGAAAGAGGAGGAGAGGAAAAAAATAATAATTTTCACTGAGCGAATAATTTCAGTCTAAATATCCTACTCATGTGAGGTTATTGTCTGCCGGGGCCTCTTGCAGAACCACCCAGCCTGGAAGCCGCGGGCAAGATGCTGAACGAGACGGTGGTCGTGAATAACCCTATCCAGCTGGAGTGCAGGGCGGCCGGGAATCCTTCGCCTGGTATGTTTACTTTTCCAATCTGTAATTTATCAATATTTTAAGATTTCTGGGAATAGATAAAATTTATTGGTAGCATAAGAGACTAGGTACTAATAAAAGAAAGTAGAAGGCATTTCGAGGATGAAGTACTGATATCAATAGAATATAGTTTAAATTTTTCATTGCTTTTTGGTACATGATAGTATTTTTCCAATTAATATAGCAACATATGAATTCTGTCATTGTTTTGTCTATGTTGTGACCACAGAACTCATAATTGTATTTTATATATCTTTATGTTGATTTTTTTAAATTTTCAAACTTATCTTAATGAAGCTCAACCAAATTGATGTTGCATTACAGTCATTCTAACGACTACCGCTGTGTTTAATATATCCCCATCACTGTCAGGCTATTCATATGAATCAATAATATTATAAATTTTTTGAAGCCTATAGTATAGTGTAGTGTGTGCGTGCATGTGTGTGTGTGTGTGTGTGTGTGTGTGTTTCTGTGCTAGGAATTGAACACAAGGTCTTGTCCTGCATGTGAGGCAAGTGCTCTATTATTGAGATAAATTTGTTTTCTTCTTTGATTTTAAGACAAGGTCTCCTCAAACTGCCCACGATGGCTCCTCCTGCCTTAACCCTCAGATTAGAGGAGATTACAGACATGTGCCACTACACCTAGTTGGACATATGGTTTTAAATAGATGTGTCGATAAATTTGTTTCTTTCCATTTTATTATATCTATTATACCTTTCAGATTTTATTTATTCTTTCAGGTTCTGAAGTTCTCTACCCATGTGCATTGTTGTTTATTGCTCTGTTTCTTTCCTTGTTTTTACTCTTTTTTTGTTTTTGGGGTTTTTTCTTTGGCTTGCTCCCCATGCCTTCAGGGCAGGTTTGGCTGGCTTGAGTTGTGGGGCTCGAACCACAGCAACCTGAGCCTGGCTGCTTTGTTGAAGCAGCCACTTAAAGAACCAAGCTAAGGGGCAGGCCCCCTGTTTTTACTCTTAAAAAAAATTTAAAAAATAATGTAAGTTGAAGAACATGTAATTGCATATTGTATAATTTGACAAAGCATTAAACCATTATAATATTCCAAAGAACAAAATTGGTATAGGAAATACGCAATATAAAAGAAATAGAATAGATTGGAAATTCACTATCAAACAGTAATGGCATAGTAGAGACAATATAAAAATAAATTATGGTTAATTCATTTTCAAAACTCATACTCACTTGTGTGTTGGTTTTCTTAAGATTACCTTCTCTTAAAAATCAGCCTGAAAGAGATGGTAACGTAAGTAGATTAAATTCAGTAAACGAAAGAAGAACACAACTGTGATAATGTTAGGGAAGGTCCAGTGGGCATATGAAGTTATCAAAGAAAAATTGACGTAGCTTTTCTTCTTCCCTCTCCTCTCAGTCATTTCCTGGTATAAAGATGGCCGCCCACTTTCCAGTTCAACTAGCATAACTTTCTTGAACAGAGGACAGAGCATTGATATTGAAAGTGCCCAGATCTCAGATGCTGGCCTGTATAAATGTGTGGCAATCAACTCTGCTGGTGCCACAGAGTTATTTTACAGCTTGCAGGTCCATGGTAAGTGCTACCTTGCCTAGGTTGATCCTGGGCTAAAGAAGTGTGCGAAATGATTAACTCCTTTTATAATGTTCTAGTGAAAATGTATATAATAGGGTGTGATTTTATTGTCCTTATAGAAGAGCCCAGTGTTCAAAACTGACAAATATTGTTACGTCAGATTCCTTTGAAAATGCTGAACTGTTTTGCACACGTGCTTCAGATGAGTTGTGCAAATAGTCATCGGTTTCTGCTCATCTAAAGACCTTGACCTTGCATGTGACTTTATTCTAACAAGGTCATGGATACTAGTTAAGCAATTGTTCCCAAATTACTATCTCTGAAAAAGGAAGGGAGTCGGTAGTTAAAAACTACAGTGTGTGCAAAGGAGGGGAGGATACACAATGCACATACACACATGTCTAGAAATCAAGCAATAAAAGTATATTCTGACATTGACATTTTTTTAACTTAGCAAAAATTGCATCTTTTCATCTCTGAGATAAATATACTGGTATTTGCCCCACTTCACTTGACAGCTGGGATTAGATTTCAAATAAAAGATTTGAAAGAAATTACCAAAACCAAAAAGCTAACATACAACAAATCCACCCGTGAGCACAAATTATTCTGACTATTACGTATAGTTTTCACCATTTTGAGATTATATTTACTGTGATGTTAACGCACTTTTATTTATTTATGTTTCAGTGCCCCCATCGATTTCAGGCAGCAGTGACATGGTAACTGTTGTGGTGAATAATCTGGTGAGATTAGAATGTGAAGCCAGAGGTATCCCAGCCCCAAGTCTGACATGGCTGAAAGACGGGAGTCCTGTCTCTAGTTTTGCTAATGGAATCCAGGTATCCCCATTTCAGTGTTGAAATCTACCACTGGTAATTCAAGATGGGAGCCACAAAAAAAATAGATAAATTTGTTAAAGAGATTTGAAGAACAAGTTTAAACATTATTTTAAAAGCCACATATGCTCCTTAAATACATGGGCACACACAACTGAGATGTCCACATAATTCATTTGAAGCTCAGTAATTCTAAAAGTTCTCTTACCTCATCAGTAGGGGTTAAATTTTACCTATTTGTTTTAGATGCAGGTTCTTTTCCACCTTTTCCTGCTCCCTATTCATGCTACAAGAAATGTTCTTCAACAACAAAAACAGAATTTTTTTAGTAGAATTTATATTTCAAATATAAATTTGAGGGGCTGGGGAGATGGCTTAGTGGAATAAGTGCCTCCCTGGCAAGTGCAAGGGCCTGAGTTCAGTCCCTGGTTCTGCAAAAAGAAAAAAAAAAAAGGATCTATCTAATCAAATATAAACTTGAAATAATGGAAATAGTGAATCCTAAAAACACATAGAACTTCTACACTTCTATAAAAACATCAAAGAATAAGGTTAGAAAAATTCTAAGGGAAACATTGTGAGAAACAAAATTTGTCTCTTACAAAAAAAATGTAATATGCCACATTTACTCAAAGTTAAAAATACAGAAGCAGATCTACGAACATTCCTTATTTTATTGATTTGCTTATTGTCCTTTGCAGATATTCCATTTTTCACAAGGGAAGTTTTGTGCCAACCAGGTAGTAAGCTAGTTGGTCAGCACCATTGTTCTAATGGCTCAGATGATTTTGGGGCATTTTAGCACTAAAGTATTTTTTAATTAAGGTACACACATTGCTGTTTAGACTTCATGCTATTGCCTACTTTATGGGTTACAGGGCAGAGTAAACATAACTTTAATATACACTAGGGAGTGAATGTATGACTCGCTTTATTATGATATTTGCTTTATTACAGTGGTCTGGATCCAAATCAAAATGTCTTGGAGGTACGCCTGTATCTAATTTGAAGCCTAGTTTTATTTTGCCTAACAGAGAATGTAGTTCTATGATTCTATTTCTTCGGTTTTTGTTTTTTTTATTTGGAAGTCCAATCATTCAGAATTTGGGATCATAGAAGATGGAGAGTTAAAGTCAGTGTATAGACAAACCATTGTATTAATAGGCAAAAAGAACAATGAATGTGGCTAATTCATTTTTTTAGGTAATACTTTGTTGTTGATTATAATTTTTTATTTGTTCACCCAAACAACACTAGAAGAATTTGTTCCTCTCATTTATGCTTCTATTTTTCCCCACCATGACTCTCTTTCCGTCTGTCTGTCTCTGTCTCTGTTTCTATCTCTCTGTCTCTCTCTCTGTCTCTGTCTCTCTGTCTCTCTGTCTGTCTCTGTCTCTCTGTCTGTCTCTGTCTCTGTCTCTCTCTCTGTCTCTGTCTCTGTCTCTCTGTCTCTCTGTCTGTCTCTGTCTCTCTGTCTCTCTGTCTCTGTCTCTCTGTCTCTCTCTGTCTCTCTGTTTGTCTCTGTCTCTCAGTCTCTCTGTCTCTGTCTCTCTCCCTGTCTCTGTCTCTCTCTGTCTCCCCCCCCCGCCCCCCGTAAATATGGCTGAAATTTGATGCCTTAGAGAGGCTTGCTTTCCGCGGCTATTAGCAAGTTCTGTTCTACCTAGCCTCTCATGTTCTTCTACTGAGTATATGAGAGGTTTCTATGATGGCTACACACTTTAAAATACCCAAGTGACAATCCCTGTAAAAGCACGCGCCGGTTGGTCAGCCTTATAAAATTAGAGAAGAAGGACACTTACCAGTTTTATGGGACACGTCGGTAATTTAGATTTTTTTCTGTTCACAGATTCTCTCTGGGGGTCGCATCTTAGCCCTGACTAGTGCACAGATAAGTGACAGTGGGAAATACACCTGCGTGGCAGTGAATGCTGCTGGGGAGAAACAAAGGGACACTGACCTCAGAGTATACGGTGAGACAAGTTATAATTATTTTCCTCTGATAGTAGATGTGTTGGGGTCCTGAGATCTTAAACATAATTTATTGACAAAAACCAGTGAAAGCTAGCAGCATGTTCATGCTTACAATTCTAGCACTTTGCGAGGCTGAGACAGAAGAATTCCAAGATTGAACACAGTGTAGGCAGCCGAATACCTAGCAGCACCCTGTCTAAAATTAGAAATAAAAGATGTGGAGCTGCAACTGAGGGTGAAGACCTTGGGATCTGTCCCCAGGGCTGCCAAATAATAAGAAAAAAGAACAGTAAGCCTAAGAATGACATTACCAGGTCAAATTCAGATTCCCTTACTACTTTATATTTGACTTTGATTTTCCCTTTTCTAAAGTTCTGAGATATTAAATGCACATCCAGGCTATAGGACGCTGGGTTTACAGCGACCTCTGGATATCAGCTCTGCAATTTAGAAGAAATTCTCACTGAAGCACCTGTCTGTCCAAATACCTTTCTTTATCGACTTTTCTCAAAGCCATGACTTCATTACTTTTAGTATGAAACCTGTTTGGCCTTTGTTCAGTCCTATGTCCATAATGTTACTTGAGAAGCAAAAGTCAGACTAGACGTAAATTGAGGCAAAAAATAAGTGACTTTTTCCCTACCACTACAATAGGGAAGGAAGTGGCTGATTCTGTCACAGCAGCAATCCCTCAGGTGAAGTGGAACCCGCAGGGCCTCCATCCACAAGTACTTGGACAGTTAGAGATCTGCCAAACATTGTTCACTATTTTATTTGCACTGTATTTCTCACATCATATAATCATGCAATTGTTTCTTCCTTGGCGTTTCATAGTGTTTCTGACTACAAGGCCTTGTTCCTTCTCTCCCACATGACTTGTAAATAATTTACTTACATTAGAAATATATTAATTTTTTAACCTGCAGACTTTGTAGCCCTGGTTTGACTTTCTACTTAATGAGGAATTTTGATGAAGGAAAATTTACTATGTCTGACAGAAACAAGTGTACTAATCACAAATAGCTTATGGCATATTGTCACATAAATTTTTAGTGGAAAAGCTCCTTATTCCCTAAATAGCATAGAAAGTCCCAGTTAGTGTCAGTACACTACCAAAGGGCTCTCGATATTCTCCTTGTTACTGCCACTACCATGAACCTGGCTCCACACTCAAGCCCCAGATTTGCTGGTGTATCTCACAACAACTTTACAGTGTCCAGTCCCGGAGGTCCTAGTTCTGTCTCTGTATTGGGTAACTATTGTGCTAGGAGGAACTGAACGACTGCCGTTCCAGAACATGGTAAGAGGAGGATTATCAACATGAGCATGTTGCTCTCTTTAGTCATGAGCAGGCAAAAATAAGGGTGATAGAAGTATTGACTGAATGTTAGTCACCTGTCAAACAAATCAGAGTTTGACTATTTCTGTCTTATACTGTCTAATATCAAGGGTAGGTCTAGAAGATTATAGAGGTCTGATATTTCTGAGAAATTTTGGAAAACAAGTTGCTAGTGTACTTGTATCCTACCTCTTCAGACTGAAAAAAACAGGTGCTTTCATCTAGAATTGAAGTTAAATGACTAATGGGTACGGGGTGTATGTCTGAGAATGCACATATGAGTTTAATACATGCAGTATATATTCAGCAAACTACTGAAGAAGTGAAAATTAACATGTTTAAGTTTTAATCTGAAATCAGTTTTCAACCTATGTTCCATTCACTATATTTGTATGTTAGCATTCTCTGTGGCCTTATGTCTCCTGGAAACTGCATGAATGTTGCAGTTTATGTGGACATGTCACAGATATGTCCGCCTCAGATTTACATTGTAGAGTATGGAAGTGGTTTGAGGCATACACAGTGGGTAAATTAGCTTCCCCTATAATTATAAGAGTAGTTTCTTTAATTTTTTTCTCCTAATAATAAATTTGGAATGTGCTGTACCATGTTATGAGACATTAAAACAAGTATTTCTAGGGTATATTATCTTTAAACATAAGCCCAGAGAATTTTCTTACAGATTTCTCTCTCTTCATCTCAGCAAGTAGAGTCCTATGAAAACACTGGGTTTTGTAATTAAATCCAACAGACAGAGCTGGGGAGATAGCTCAGTAGAATAAGCGCATGCTTGGTAAGCGCAAGGTCCTGAGTTTAATTCCAGCACCGAAAAAAAAAAAAACCCGCATAATGTATAGAATGATGAATACAGCAAGTCTAGGGTACAGCCTTTCCTATGCTACATAGCCACAAAACAAAATAGGGATAACATCCAAGGAAGCAGGGACTGAAAGAGTAGAACCTTGTTTTCTTCTCAGACTAAACAGAAAGTCTGAAATGAGAGACAGGACAGAAAAAAATAGATGTGTTTCAGTAATGCATATTTTCAGTTACGATTAAATTTTCTTTAATATGTGCTTCTTAAATAAATGCTTCATTATTTCTGCATTTTTTTCTCTCCGTTTTGAAACTGATTTCCTTTTGAATTTGGTTCAACTCATTTAATTGCAAAGAAAAGTATTTAAAGGGAAACATTTAGAAATAAATTAGCATTCTGCAGTCTTGGATTGAAACTCCAACTTTCACTTCTTCAAATAGTCCTAAAGAAATCACTTGGTTTTGTAAAGTCTACTACTCACCTAAAACAAACAGTCAAGCTACTTTTTAGCCAGTAAGAAAAAACTTTACCTCAAATTATACGAAAGGTATAAAATTGCCCATTCTACTTAGATCTTCCTATGATAAGACTTGTAAAACTACATGTTTTTCATGGTATCTTATGAGAGGCTTTAATTGTGCTTATTTTTCTACTTTTATAGCATTTTAGACTTGAATGCTATAAAAGTAGTCTCACATCTTGTCTAGCATGTCACATAAAGAAAAAACAATCTTACTCTTTTCTGTTCCCCACAGATTTCATTAACCTTGCTCAGAAGCAAATGACAGGGTATACTATTAAATTTAGCAGAAGCAACACCATGAATCTCTGGACAAATGCTTCACTGGTGCATTCCAGCCCTTGTGCAAGTTTTTGATTTTTTTTGTTAGCACACATCCTTAGGGGTCAGCACAAATCTTGCACCCAGAAACAGCACAAAAATGTGCTCCTTTCATTCGCCTCCTGCTCAATCACACGTAGTAGCCCTCTAAGGCTCTTTCTCACTTCTGCGATCAAGTAGTCAATATTCACAACTTAAAGGGGGAGCAGGTTATTTTGGGTTACAATTAGGCCATCACTGGTCCCTGAGGTAGGGATGGAATGGCAGGGACCATAGTGAAGGAATGCTGCTCCCATCACATCCTGGCAGCCAGGAAGCAAGAGAGGAGAGGAGTGATGGGGGGCGTAGAGCCTCCCCTGCAGAGCCTCCTCTTCCAGCCAGACCCCACCTCCTAACAATACCCTGCTGTTGGCCTCCCCCAGTGGATGACTCCACTGACACCCCATGATCCAGACATCTGCAAGGCGCACCTGTGAGCACATCAGGTACTGGGTCTCACTATGCAGCTCAGACTCGTAGTGATCCTCCTGTTTTCAGCCTCCCCAGTGCTGGGATTACAGACACACACTACCATGCCCAGTCTCAGTGGCTGGCTCAACTGCCTAGAGGTAGGACCAGCATGGCATGTGGTACAAGGATTGAACCTTAGTCCCTGCGCTTGCCTAAACAGGCAGTTAGTCTGCTGAGCTATCTCCCTGGCCTTTGAAGGACGTTCTTGATCTAAAGCGTAACAGTAGCAGAGAAAACTCAGGCTTCCAGAAGCACTACTCGTCAATGTCTGTTGTGTTCATTGTCATCTTACCACACGCTAGGGTATTGGGCCTGAAATGGAAGTGAACAGACAATAAATATTCTTTCTACAAGAATCTCATTTCTACTGAAGCATTTGGAAAGTTCCTTAGTATTCATCTAATTGCTGCTTACCCTTCTTAGGAACCAAAACAAAATTGAAAACTACAATAAAATAATTTTCCTCTAATCCTAAAGATTTAGTGAGAAATGGCCAAGGAAACTCCCCTCTGTAGTTTTTCAAAGTGGACTTTTCATGACAGTCTTGACATAATCATCAGTTTATTTTTTGTCAATTATTACAGACAGCTCTAAAATAGTCCTTGGTCAAAGCTGAAGCACCAGACCCCCCAAAACATTAGATACTATCTCAATAGCTTAAAGCAGATTACTGTCTCTGCATATCCTCTCTGCATATGGCAGAGGTAAATGTAGGTCACCCACCTAGCTCAGGTCACAGTAGTCACCTGCTTCCCAGAATCCTCGGTCATTCCTCCTCAAGCCACTCCTCCACTGAATAAAACCAGATGAGGCCCTGGGTCAACCTCTTGGTTCCGGAAAGCCATCTTTGTGACTGGACTTAGGGCCCCTTAGCTCCCCAATAATTAAAAAAAAAAAAGTCCATGGTGGATTATGGAGCCCATGCTTTCCTCAAGCTCATTGTGTCTAAAGCATCTAAGACAAGTGGTTGTTTACGCTTTCATACACACAAGAGGAGAGCCTTTAAACTTCTCCCCAAACAGACCAGTATCTACAAACCCAGACAGCCAGGGAATTCTGATTTTATTTTTATTAAAATTTTAACTCATTTTCTCCTTCTAAGTAACTGTATGTTGCACAGCGAATTGCTTTGTTTATTCATTATTGCATCACCTGACAAAGTCTTCATTCCATAGAGAGTCGACAAGGCACCACAGAAAACAAAAGGAACATGAGACTGCATATCAGGATACTATTTGCTTTTCCATTGATTAGCCATGTTATTTTT